AAGAATCATGGAAGACATAGCTCTATTTGGCAGAGAAGCCTATGTAAAACTACCCATGATTGCATAGCTCTGAGCCATTGTGGCTAAAGCAGTATCAAATTAATAATAATAATAACAACAACAACAACAACAATAATAATAATACACTTTATTTATAACCCGCTACCATCTCCCCAAAGGGGACTCGGTGCGGCTAACATTAGGCCAAGCCCAAAATAATATAACATAATAAACACACAGTAAAAAAATACATCATAACAAAATATAAAATAACAAAATCAACAATATAAAACAGCATATTAAAACCAGACATGGAGGGCGGGCCAAATGTGTGAGGTAAAATGTTAAAAAAGTTAAAACCCTGGGTGAGATAGGGATAAAAGTGCATTTGTAGGAAAGGAGCCCAATAGGGAGGAACCATGGGATTAAGCCATTTTAGGGGCGGTGGGGTAGATGCTTTACTGTGGAACACTCTCCCGGTTGACATCAGACAGGCGCCCTCCCTTTTGGCTTTCCGTAAGAGCCTAAAGACCTGGCTATTTGGAAAGGCATTTAATTGAGTGCTATACAAACGGGTAATGACAAGTGGAACGGAATACGGTCTATGAGATTGGCTATGATTCTATGTGTGACGATGCGGATTAGTTTAGTGTAAATTAGCTTAATGTGTATAGTGAATTGTTGATTTTGTTGTGCTCTATTGTATACTGTTTTTATATGTTGTACACCGCCGCGAGTCGCCCTAGGGCTGAGAGCGGCGGTTAACAAATGCAATAAATAAAATAATAAATAAATAAATAACCAGATGAGTTGAATGGTCATTCTCCAAAAGCACAACGGAAGAGCCAGGTTTTTATGTCTTTCTTAAAACCAGCTAGGGTGGGGGCTTGCCTGATCTCCTTAGGCAGCAAATTCCAAAAGCGGGGGGCCACAGCGGAAAAGCCCCACTCCCTTGTTCCCATAAGACGAGTCTGTGATAGAGGAAGGGGCAAGAGAAGGGCCTCTTCAGTGGATTGAAGAGATCATGCAGGTTTGTGACTTGGAGCCCACATTGTAGTTGGGCCCCAAGTCACCTTTAACATATGCTCACTTGCTGAATAAGGGCCCTTCCACACCACCCTATATCCCAGAATATCAAGGCAGAAAATCCCACAATATCTGCTTTGAACTGGGTTATCTGAGTCCACATTGAGATGTGGGATTTTCTGCCTTGATATTCTGGGATATAGGGCTGTGTGGAAAGGTCCTAAGAGACCTTGTCTAAGGAGTGTGTCTACAATATAGAATTAATGTAGTTTGACATCACTTGAATTGCTATGGTTCAGTGCAATGAAATCATGGGAGGTGTAGTTTCACACAGGCTTTAACCTTCTCTGTCAAACTACAAACTCCAAGATTCCATAGCATTAAGCCATGGCAGTTAAAGTGGGGTCAGACTGCATTCATTCTGAAGTGTTTTGTTGTTTATTCGTTCAGTCGCTTCTGACTCTTCATGACCTCCTGGACCAGCCCACGCCAGAGCTCCCTGTCGGCCGTCACCACCCCCAGCTCCTTCATGTCAAGCCAGTCACTTCAAGGATACCATCCATCCATCTTGCCCTTGGTCGGCCCTCTTCCTTTTTCCTTCCATTTTCCCCAGCATCATTGTTTTCTCTAAGCTTTCCTTTCTTCTCATGATGTGGCCAAATAACTTCATCTTTGTCTCTAATATCCCCCCACCGCCAGTGAGCAGCTGGGCATTATTTCCTGGAGTATGGACTAGTTTGATCTTTTTGCGGCCCAAGGTACTCTCAGAATTTTCCTCCAATATCACAGATCAAAGGAATGTTTGGAGATGGTTTTGCTAGTTCTTTTGTCTGAAATATAGTCCACAGCACCTGGAAAACATTAGCGGTCTCCAATCTAAGTACTCATCATGGCTGACGCTGCTTAGCTTCCAGGATCATGCAGGACTGGGGACCTTTTGGCCAAATTTAAAAATGCCCTACATCATATTCAGTCCTGATGGCACAAGGGTTTAGCCCACTGTGCCAACGGGGGATCTGGTGACCTTCTGCTGTCAAGAATTCGATGACTGCACATTGCTTAAGTTGCATTGACCGACTGTCTGCGCAAGTTTCCATACTTTGCACTTTAACAACACATCCATTCAGTGCTAAGGCTTCCTGCCAAAATGGAACTGTAGAGGAGAGTCTACTGAAGAAGCCAGTACCTGCCACATACCAGTACTGTCATCTGTTGAGGAGTTACGAAGGTGGAGACATTACTTTTAATTCAACTCTTGTAGGTTGTGTGTCTATGACATTGAATGTTTGCCATGTATATGTACATTGTAATCCGCCCTGAGTCCCCTGCAAGGTGAGAAGGGCGGAATACAAATACTGTAAATAAATAAATAAATATATTATTTCTAGCACCCACTTTTTGCTTGATATTCAGGCAGTGCTTCTTGTAGGTCAGAGAACGGTCCAGAGCAGTGGTTCTCAACCTTTCTAATGCCACGACCCCTTAATACAGTCCCTCATGTTGTGGTGACCCCCAACCATAAAATTATTTTTGTTGCTACTTCATAACTATAATTTTGCTGCTGTTATGAATCATAATGTAAATATCTGATATGCAGGATGTATTTTCATTCACTGGACCAAATTTGGCACAAATACCCAATACACCCAAATTTGAATACTGATGGGGTTTGGGGGGGGGGGGTTGTTATTTGAGAGTTGTAGTTACTGGGAATTATAGTTCACTTACAATCAAAGAGCATTCTGAACTCCACAAATGATGGAATTGAACCAAACTTGGCACACAGAACTCCCATGACCAACAGAAAATACTGTTTTGGAGTTGTAGTTCACCTACATCTAGAAAGCACTGTGGACTCAAACAAGGATGGATCTGGACCAAACTTGGCATGAGTACTCAATATGCCCAAATGTGAACTCTGGTGGAGTTTGGGGAAAATAGATCTTGACATTTGGAAGATGTTTGAGTCCACAGTGCTCTGGATGTAGGCGAACTACAAAACTCAAGGTCAATGTCCACCAAAACCTTCCATTATTTTTTGTTGGTCATGGGAGTTCTGTTGGTGGAGTTCAGAATACTCTTTGATTGTAGGTGAATTATAAATCCCAGCAACTACAACTGGCAAATGACAAAACCAAATCCTCCCCCGCCCCCAACCCCACCAGTCTTCAGATTTGGGCCTATCGGGTATTTGTGCCAAATTTTGTCCAGTCAATGAAAACACATCCTACCTATCAGATATTTACATTCTGGTTCATAACAGTAGCAAAATTACAGTTATGAAGTAGCAAGGAAAATAATTTTATGGTTGGGGTCACCACATTTATTTATTGTGTCAGGAGGGCATCAAAACAGTTGTATTGCATTAAAAACAAACAAACAAACAAAACACAAGGTTTGCAGACTTCGTATTCTATTAAATGCCCTTTGACCAGTAGCTGGCCACTTGGAGTGCCTCTGGTGTTGCCGCAAGAAGGTCCTCCATTGTGCATGTGGCAGGGCTCAGGTTGCATTGCAGTAGGTGGTCTATGGTATGTTCTTCTCCACACTCGCATGTCGTGGATTCCACTTTGTAGCCCCATTTCTTAAGTTTGGCTCTGCATCTCTTGGTTGATTGATTGAGGTTCGGGGTTTGAGCCTGCCACTTTTGGACTCTCGCTTGCTGAGGTGTTCCTGCAAGTGTTTCTGTACATTTTAGAAAACTATTTCTTGATTTAAATTGTTAAGAGTGCTGATATCTGAACTGGGGATGGGCCAGAGATGTCACTGCCTTGGTTCTTTCACTATTGGTTGCTACTTCCTGGCTGATGTCAGGTGGTACAATACTGGCTAGACAGTGTAATTTCTCCAGTGGTGTAGGGTGCAGACACCCCATGATAATGTGGCATGTCTCATTAAGAGCCACATCCACTGTTTTAGCTTGGTGAAATGTGTTCCACATTGGGCATGCATATTCAGCAGCAGAGCACAAGGGCAGATGTCTTCACTGTGTCTGGTTGTGATCCCCAGGTTGTGCCAGTCAGCTTTTGTATAACATTATTTCTAGCGCCCACTTTTTGCTTGATATTCAGACAGTGCTTCTTGTACGTCAGAAAAGGGTCCAAGGTAACTCCCAGGTAGTTGGGTGTGTTGCAATGCTCCATAGAATCATAGAGTTGAAGAGACCTCATGGGCCATCCAGTCCAACCCCCTGTCAAGAAGCAGGACAATTGCATTCAAAGCGCCCCTGACAGATGGCCACCCAGCCTCTGTTTAAAAGCTTCCAAAGAAGGAGCCTCCACCACACTCCGAGGCAGAGAGTTCCACTGCTGAACAGCTCTCAGTCAGGAAGTTCTTCATAATGTTCAGATGGAATTTCCTTTCTTGTAGTTTGAAGCCATTGCTCCACGTCTTAGGATCATAGAATCATAGCGTTGGAAGAGACCTCCTGGGCCATCCAATCCAACCCCTTCCCAAGAAGCAGGAAAATTGCATTCAAATCACCCCCGACAGATGGCCATCCAGCCTCTGTTTAAAAACATCCAAGGAAGGATCCTCCACCACACTCTGGGGGCCAGGCAGAGAGTCCACTGCTGAACAGCTCTCACAGTCAGGATGTTCTTCCTCATGTTCAGACGAAATCTCCTTTCTTGCAGTTTGAAGCCATTGTTCCGTATCCTAGTCTCCAGGGCAGCAAAAAACAAGCTTGCTCCCTCCTCCCTGTGACTTCCTCTCACATATTTACACATGGCTATCATGCCTCCTCTCAGCCTTCTCTTCTTCAGGCTAAGCATACCTTTCCCAGGTAATGCAGCTAATGAAGACCTTGCTCAGCCCTTCCCTTTATGAGGCGAAGCCTAGGCTCGCCTCTTGGCCGTTTGGAAACACTACATTTCCCAGGAAGCCTCTTCCCCAGAGGCTGGGGGACGCCTCTCCCGGAGCATGCCGGGTTTTGTAGTTTCCTGGGTGGGGTTGTCCTCCCGCCGCCGCCCTCCCCTCTCACATGACGCCCGACAGAATGCGGAAAAGAGCCAGGCGCGCGGTGTGGGGCGAGGAAGTCCGGACGAGGTTGCATCCCTTGACAGAGCTCTCTCTCTCTTGTCTTCTCCCCACCCGCCTTCGGAAGAGCCCGCTTCGGAAGAACTGCGCCTCTGCTTGGGCTGCAGCATCCCACGAAAGAAAGAAGGGACCTTTTCTGAGAGGAGAAACAAAGTTAACTTCCATTGCTACATCCTTCTCTTGCTACTCTGAATCCAGCCAAAGTCTCCAACTTTCAAAGTAAAGCGCCTGCCTGTTGAGTGATTCCTGGTCCCTTTGAACCCAGGTCTAGGACTTCCTGTTGTTCCTGGAGGAGATGCTCTGCAGAATCAAAACTAAAGTGCCTTGAGTCCTCAGCTTCCCTGGAGGTTGCTGTTCTCTTTCGCAAAAGGCGTCTCTTTCTCAAAAGCCACCCAAAGAGAAGGCACAGTGGGCTGCCCGCCCCTTGCTTCTTGACCTCCCACCATGGTGGGCCACCATGACCATATGTTCAAGGTGCTGATCATTGGGGATGCCACTGTTGGGAAGACCTCCTTGGTCCAGCGATACGCCAACGACAGTTTTAACAAGCATTACAAGTCCACCGTTGGAGGTGAGTATCGCAGTGCTATGAGGTCCCTTACTTAACCTTGATCCAGCCGTCTGTATTTGGAAGATCTGTGTTGCCTTCCTCCCAGGTTGAGAGGGTGTCGCTTGGCCAAGGTCACCCACTGAGCACGGAGTTTGAACCTGCATTTATGGGAATCTTAATCCAACCGGTAAATGCAATACCAGTGGTTCTCAACCTATAGATCCCCAGGTCTTTTGGTCTACAACACCCAGAAATACCAACCACTTGGGAGTTGAAGACCAAAACATCTGGGGACCTACAGATTGAAAACCATTGTGCTACACCATGCGGGTAAGTCTCATGGGTGTTGTTCCCACCTGTTGACTTAATTGGTTCTGGCTCACTTGGTAAAGTTGGCTCACTGGCTTTATTGGCTGCTTAATATTTTAATAACTATTTCAATGATGGTTATGTGTGTTTATATAATGTATGTGTAATGTTTTATGAAAGTTGTAAGGTAATTGGTAGGTTATGTTATCATTTAATTTTTGCTCAATTCTGTCATAGCTGTTGTTTACTTCTGATATTCGATTAGTTTGCTTTTGTATTTTTTTATTTGAATGTGTTCGGCGTTAATGTTTGCCAGTTTTTGTTGGAATCCGCTATGAGTCCCATCAGGGAAAGTGGGTGGAATATAAATAAAGTTTTAGTATTATATCATATATCATATTATATTTTTGGGTCCTCCTGGTGGCACAGCGGGTTAAACCGCCAAGTTGCTGAACTTGCTGACATAAAGGTTGGGATCAAGGTGAGCTCCTACTGTTAGCCCCAGCTTCAGCCAACCTAGCAGTTCGAAAACATGCCAATGTGAGTATATCAATAGGTACCGCCAGGGCCGTAGCCAGAAAAAAATTTCGGGGAGGGTTGACAATTTCGGGGGGGGGGGGGGTTGAAAATTTCGGGAAGGGTTGAAAATTTCGGCGGGGGGCGGGGCGGGTTGAAACCTGCCTCCTAGTTCACTCTGAAGCAAAGCGCACAAAGAGCAGGGGGCAGAGCAACCTTCAATAGCCTGCAGCTCCACCCCTGTCAACCACCTTCACCAAGTCTGGCCTCCTTAATGAGAGCATTCAACACACACACACCCAACTTGGTTGCTTCACTACATCGGCTATTGCTGCAAGTAATGACAGTGTGAATAAATTGTCAATATTTGCTTGAGATAGTGCTTGCAGTTCTGGAGGCACTCTTAATTTTTTGCATCTCATAGACTTAGCATTGGGGATTTGGTTAACCAGTTAAAATTCATGAGTAAACCAGGTTTTTTAAAAAAATCTGAAACATTTCGGGCGGGGGGGTTTGAACCCCTAAAACCACCCCCTCGCTACAGGCCTGGGTACCGCTTCAGCAGGAAGATAAAGCCACTCCATGCAGTCATACTGGCCACGTGATCCTGGAGGTGTCTATGGACAATGCTGACTCTTTGGCCTAGAAATGAAGATGAGCACCACCCCACCCACCCCGAGTCGGCCATGAGTACACTTAACATCGGGGAAACCTTTACCTTTACTACTACTACTACAATTATTGATGCATTACAGTAATCCAAAATTCTTGGAACCAAAAATATTTGTGATTTTTTTTGGGGGGGGGGGGAGATTGGAGTACAGTAGATTTTCTTATTTAACTAGCAGCCATTGAGTTTGGTGGATAATGGCTCAAAGTACTTACTGGTTACTTGAGACTTACTTTTAAAAGTAGGCCTAGCTACTACTATATCTCATGCCATAAACTCTTCATTGACTTTATGGGGCAAATTCAGAGTTTTGGGGAAAGATGTTGTTGTTGTTGTTGTGTTTATTTATATCCCACTTTTTCTCCATAAGGAGACTGAAAGCGACTAACATTAAAACCATTAGAATCCAATTTAACATAAACAAATATTAAAACAGTATTAAACAGCATTAGTTTTAAAAACAATTCAGATTAAATCCATAAAATGCAATAGAAGGATATGGAATATGTGCAATGACTATTGGATTGGCCCCGGATTATGCTTATGCAAGGCTTGGTTTTAATAATTCATGCAATGTTTTTAACTATTTTAATGTGTATTAAATTAAATCTTAATTTAAATGTTTATTTTCATTGCATGTTGCTTTTAAAGCAGCAAAGGCTATGTGTAAAGCTGTCTTGAGTCCCCTTTGGGGTTGGGAAGGGTGTGGTATAAATATGGTAAGCAATAAATAAATAAAAACATATAGAACCACAACAGCCCCTGACATGATTTTTAAAACCTTATTTAAAAGTCTGCCGGAATCAAAAGGTTTTAGCCTGATATAACCAGATTCTTACCAGCATCCATTCAGATTGTAGATATCAGATCCATGTACTAACTAGTTTCTTGAGAGTTACTTTTAAAAGTAGGCCTAATACTACATCCCATATTGTCTCATACTCATTGACTTTATAGGTGAAATTCAGGGTTTTGGTGCAAAATAGCACCAGACTCAGTTAACTGGCACCCAAGCAGATTGGTAGATATCAATACACTTTGGAAAAATGATGCCATAACCTTTTGGGAAATGGAAATCTCCATACATTTTTGGAAAATGGTATTCAGTTTTATTTGGGAAAATCAGGAATCTCCCTGGGAAGAGTTAAAAACTCGCTTAAGTCAAATCTTCTCCCTAGTGGTAAATATCCACTAGCATTCATGCAAGGCAATTAGGTTTCTCAGCTGTTAAACAGATATACCTAGATATCTCTTTGAACTGTTAGGGACAAAGATAATGCTAGTGCACAAAACACACACATACATAGCAATGTTTTAGAAGTGTTCTTTCAGTTGCCCCAAAACATCTACTCTCCCTTAAAACAGCTTGATGTAATCATGCTCTCAAGAGATCAACATTAAATAGATTTCTTTAAAATAACATAGTTGGTTTACAAACTTCGTGTAGGGACCGGGCTGTGGCGCAGCTAGTTGGTAGCCAACTGCATGAAGTCACTACTGACTGAGAGGTCATGAGTTCAAACCAGCCTGGGTTGGAGTTATCTCCTGCCCATTAATAGTCTAGCTTGCTGTTGTCCTGTGCAGCCTGAAAGACAGTTTCATCTATCAAGTAGGAAATTTAGGTAACGCTTTATGCAGGGAGGCTAATTTAACTGATTTACAGCACCATAAAACCTTCCAGCAGCATGCGTAAGAATGAGGAAGTACTCCATCAAGGAGTCCACAAGTGCACGGAGAATCAGCAGCTCCCCCTGTGGCCGGAATCAGGCATACCCTCATGAAACCAGAAAAGCTGGAATGTTAAATTGCCTCTGTGTCTATCTATATATGTTGCATGACTAATGACATTGAATGATTGCCATGCATATGTGCATTGTAATCTGCCCTGAGTCTCCTGCGGGGTGAGAAGGAATATAAATACTGTAAATAAATAAATATTCAGCATACAGGGACTTTGCATATCAGCCCAGTTACAGATAGGATTTGAAGTTGTTTCTCTGTGTAGATAACGCAGGACATCTTTCTTATAATCTTAACAGTCTATATAATAATCTAAAGTCTAAAGCATATCTTTGGTCTGAGAGTCTAATAGAATCTGTCTAGTCTGAAAGTTCAATGGAGTTTGAGATTTAAAATGGAATCTCAGGTCTGAATAGTCCCAGATCTGATCACATGGTCTGTCGTCCCTCCCACAACATAGAGTTAAGGAAAACTGCCTACCAATACAGTAGGCAATCTGAATTATATACATAGCAAACAACCCATGGTGGCTAGAAGAAGGTTGCTATTTCCAACAATAAATGTACTTACAGGTTGCTTGAGAGTTACTATTAAAAATAGACCTGACTAATACTATACATATTATACCATAAATTCTGTATTGACTTGACATTAATATTGGAATACAGTAATTAAAAGCAAGTAAAGGCAAACTTGAGGTAATAAAATACTGTTTTACTGTATTATAAAAACAGTATTATTTCTTTGATATTTTGCCAATTGCTTGAGAGTTTAATTTAACTGAGAGTCTATTGAACTTTTTATTTGCATGTATGTGCATGAGATATCTTGGAAATGGTTGTTGTTGTTCATTCGTTCAGTCGTCTCCGACTCTTCGTGACCTCATGGACCAGCCCACGCCAGAGCTCCCTGTCGGCCGTTACCACCCCCAGCTCCCTCAAGGTCAGTCCAGTCACTTCAAGGATGCCATCCATCCATCTTGCCCTTGGTCGGCCCCTCTTCCTTTTGCCTTCCACTTTCCCCAGCATAATTGTCTTCTCTAGGCTTTCCTGTCTCCTCATGATGTGGCCAAAGTACTTCAACTTTGTCTCTAGTATCTTTCCCTCCAGTGATACCCAAATCAAAACATTAAATTTCATTTATATGCCATATTCACGCCTTAAAACACATACCCTGAAAGCAATTTAATACCAGTGGTGCAATGGGTCAAACCCTTTTGTTGGCAGGACTGCTGACTGAAAGGTTGGCGGTTTGAATCTGGGGAGCAGGGTGAGCTCCTATCTGTCAGCTCCAGCTTCTCATGTGAGGAACATGAGAGAAGCCTCCCACAGGATGGCAGAACATCCAGGCGTTCCCTGGGCAATGTCCTTGCAGACGGCCAATTCTCTAACATCCGGATCATCTTGCAGTTTCTCAAGTCGCTCCTCACTCCCAAAAAAGCATACCAAACCCTTTTGTACATGAAACAAAGTTTATGTACACTGAACTGCCAGAAAACAATATACTGTAGTCTGTACACCCATGTTCTTGTAAAGACATAACTGACTAGCTAGAACATATTGTAAAAATGTATACCTAATATTTCTTGTATGCTCACACCAGATTTTAAAACACAAAATACACACACGAATGAGCCTTGCTATAGTAAACACTATCTGGATACAATCAGTTTCTCCTATGAAAGGAAGCGCTGAATAACCAAAACATAAACAGCAGATTGTAATAACTGGAAGCTAAGAGCATGACTAAGAGAAAGTACAGACATATTTAACTATGATACACCAGT